TCAGCTGCCACGTCCCTTGGGCAGCTCTGCTCTCCTGCTGCCCGCCCCTTCCCACCCCCCGACCCCCAGTCCTAGCCCCTTTAACTGTCAGGAGAACGAACCCGAAAGACGTGGATGGTCCCATTACTAAGGGACACGACCAGGTACCTCCCATCCACCATGGTGGTCACCCGGGGCTTTTCCAGGCCGTGATAGGCCGTCAGGAAGTCACCCAGAAGTGACCCCTTAGGGTCCAGGATCACCACCTTGTTGACCTCTCGAAGGGTCAGAAAGATGTAGCCCTTCTTATCCACAGACACGGAGCCTGGCTGGCAGCCGTGCAGGCCTGGCCCCTTGTACTCCCCAATCACCTGGCCCAGCCCATCACAGACCACCACGCTATTCTGCTGCCAATCCGACCCCACATAATTGCCCTGGGGGCTGACGGTCAGGAACACCAGCGCCCGCAGGCCCCGGTTGGCCTTGCCCCCAGGGATGAATCGCGTTGCCAGGCTCCCCTCCATGTTGTACACCTCCACGTGGCCTGCAACACTGACAGACACCCGGTCCCCACTCGGCAGTGCGGCCACCGCATGGCTGGCCTGGGACAGGCTCAGGGCCCGGCGCCACTGCACCTCACCATCAGGGCTGATGAGATAGAGCCGTGCGCCGGCTGAGAAGGCCACTGCATCCTGCAGAGCAGCCACGCTGCATGGGGAGCAGCCCTCGGGGACCGGCACAGCGCCCTTGTAGTCCCCGTTGAGGGAGAAACGTTTCAGAGCTCTATTTTGCTCATCCGCCACCAGGATCTCCCGGGAGCCAAAGGGACAGAGCCCCGTGATCCGGGGAGACCGCTTGTCTCCAGGCATGCGTATGGGGAAGCTGCAGGAAAAGATGGGCCTGGGGAGGAGGCCAGAGCCTTCCAGGTTTGGCCCAGGTGCTGGGCTGGGCTCCCGGGAAATTGACTTGAGCCTGCCCTTGAACTTCCTCTTCTTGTTGGATTGGCTGCCCCTCTGGATGTGGGCTTCTCCATCTTCTTGGGGCATCTGAGCTCTGTCCTTGTTCGGGGTCTGGGCTCTGTCTTCTTGGGACATCTTGGCTCTGCCCTCTTTTGGGGTCTGGGCTCCATCTTCTCGGGGCATCTGGGCTTTGTTGTCTTTTGGGGTCTGAGCCCCCTCCCTACACTGGGGCTGGTTTCCATTCTGTCTCACTGTCTTGGCTCCATTGTCTCTCTGGCTCTGGGTTTCATCACCTCCCTGGGTACCAGCTACATTTTTCCCACCATCCTGGAGATGCTGCTCCTCAAAGAAAAGCCGGAGCAAGTGGCAGTCCTTGTCCAGGAGACCAGGATGAAGCTCCAACTGGGGCAGCAGGCAGGGCGCTGGCCCCGGCATCCAGGGGCATCCCTGTAGCTGCCGAAGCCTCCGGGCAATCGCCCCCTCCAGTGAGAGTATCTCGGCCTCGCGACCCAGGTTGAGCACCCGACGGGCGAAGGCAGCCGCAGCCTTGGCCGCCTGTTCGCGGCCCTCTAGCTCTGCCAGCCTCTCCCGAGCAGCCTCCTCAGCAGCCTCGACGTGGGCCCGTAGCTGCCCCAGCACCTCCTGCTTCTGGGCCAGCAGAGCCCGGAGGACCCCTTCAGCTGCCTCCTCCACCTGCGTCCCCACCCTGGCTGCCTGCTCCCGCAGCCGGACCAGCGCTTCCTTTTCCGCCATGCGGGCAGCCTCCAGCTCTACCAGGTTGTTGTCCACGCCTGCCAGCAGTTCCTCAAGGCCCGGCCTCCGGGCGCGCACTGCCTCGGCCAGGGGCATGCAGGGGTGGTCCAAGTGGGGGTCCAGGCGGCACTCTCGGCACAGCAGCTGCGAGCAGGGCTGGCACAGGAAGCGCAGAGCCTCTCCCGGGTGCTGGGGACATTGGGCCGCCTGGCGCTCCCGGGCCTCCTCGTCATACCACCCTCTCCTGTAGCCCACCAGGTCCACCACTCGATGGGTGTGGGTCTGGCGGGTGCAGCGGTGCCCATCGGCACAGGCCTGGCACAAATCATCAGCACAGTCCAGGCACCGGGCTGTGGCCGGCCCCCCAGTGCTGGTGCCTCCCACCAGGGGACACAGGGCACAGGCTGGCTTCCCTGCGTGCAGGTCTCCGCAGGCCCGTGCCTTCACCAAGTCCAGGAGCCCATTGACGAAGAAGTTGGTCTTGAAGGCCGCCACGCCAGTAGGTGGCACAGGCACAGTCTCACGACACTCGGGGCAGCGGACATGGCCATTCTCGGCCAGCTGGGCCAGGCAGTCCTGGCAGTAGGTGTGCAGGCAGGGCAGAGTCTTGGGCACCCGCAGCTGCTCCAGGCAGATTTTACAGGCCAGGAAGTCGCTGCTCAGGGCCTCCAGCAAGGAGGGCGAGGAGCCCTGGGAAACCATCCTGCAAGCAGAGGGTCAAGGTTGAAGGTCAGAGGGCACCTTGATAGTGCCTCCACGCTCTCCCGCCCCTTCCCCATCCTCCAGCCCCACATGATCCCCGGGTCTGGGGTCTCACCTGAATGGCCAGGAATTTCCTTCTGGTCTTCTGGGGCCCTCAGGCCACTTGCTCCTCAGCTAAGGAGCCACCCTTCTCCCTCCTCCTTCTCACGTCAATCAGCACTGCTTGCCCTGTCAGACCTGTGAGAAATGACAAGACTAAGAAGCCCCCTGGCCTTCGACAGCTAATAATCTAATAATCAGGGAACCCAGTCGACAGGCCTTGCAGCAAGTGTGGTCCAAGCCCACCCTGTGTGAACAGGGACTGGGGTCCTGCTGGGGTGGGGTGCTGCGGTCAAAGGGCAGGTAGGAAGGACACAGAAGAGGGTCCTGGTGGGCAGAGTGACCTTGGTCCTGGCCACTGGGGCGGGTCTTGTTGTAGCATAAGGGGCCTTATTCCCCTAGCCCTGCATACCTGTCTTCTCCTAGCCCCTGGGGCAGCATCGTGTACCCTGGAGCGCCCCTTCCTGCCCCAACTTTGTCGGGTCCTGGTGGGCAGAGTGACCTTGGTCCTGGCCACTGGGGCGGGTCTTGTTGTAGCATAATGGGCCCTAATTCCCCTAGCCCTGCATACCTGTCTTCTCCTAGCCCCTGGGGCAGCATCGTGTACCCTGGAGCGCCCCTTCCTGCCCCAACTTTGTCTGAAAACAGATCCTGGAGCAGGCAGAAAGAAGGCTGAGGGGAGAGGTTCATCTCCTTCCAGCTGCTGGACCTCAGGGTCACCTTAGCCTTAGCCTCCACTCCAAGATTCCTTTTCTTTTAGCCTTTCCCGCTGAATGCATTCCAGAAACCTCTGGCGGGTAGGAGTTGTGAGCTCCCACCACGGTGGCTGAGTCGTACTTGATAAAGAGACTCGGTGGAATTTCCCCTTTTCCCGGGGCCGGGAGGACAGCTCAGGGAGTGGGCTGTGGCGAGGGTCTCTCTGGGGGAAGCCTCAGACCTCTGGCCACGGTGGGTGAGGGGGCAGGTGTTGCTTTCCTGGCCTGCCCTCTCCTCCCGTCTTCCGGGTCCCTCTTTCCCCCTCTCCTCCCTCCCTCTCCTTCTCCTCTCTCTCCACCCCCTCCCCTGCATTCTCCCCTCCCCCTACTCCCTCCAATCCAGCCTTTCCTTAGCTGCCCCCTCCCCTCCTCACCTAGCCAGAGCCGACCCTGGGCTCCAGGACCGCGAGAGGCCGAGGTCTGGACGCCGATGTCGCTGTTTGCCTGAAAGAGAAACAAAACTGAAACTAATTGTACTTGTGGTGCAACTTCCGTCCCCGGGACACCGACTTGCTCAGGCCCCGCCTTCTCCCCACCCCAGCCTGGACACCTCCCTCTGCGGCCCCCACCCCAGCAGCGCCCGGCCCCCTCCTGCGGGCTCAGGCGCCGTAGCTGCCCCGGGCCAGGTCTGCCGGTCGGGGACTCACACTGCTGCAGCCGCAGGCTAAGTGGCTAAGTGCATGTGCTGCTAACAGGGAACTGCCTGAGGGTGTGTTTGCTTGTTTGTGTGTAGGGTCAGAGGGTTCATTGGTGGGAAGAAACTAGAGATGATCTGTAATTCAGAGACTAGGGTAAACAGAACCAAGTCTGCAGGCCAGGTGTGCAGTGCTGTGAACACCCTGCCCAGGCAGTATCAGCAAATCCAGCCCCTGGAGAGCCCTGCATTTCATAAACCTTTGTTGAGCTACAGGAGACACTTGGGGACCAGATAAGGGGCCTCAGTCTGAGGAATCAGCAAGGGCTTCCAGGAGGAGGCATCAGTTGCAATGACTCTGAAGAGGGAACAGAGGTTTGGGGTTCTTGGGGAAGAGTGCAGAGAAGGTAGTTCTGGGAATCAGGAGCAACAGTGTGTGGGTACAGAAGAATGAAATACCACGACTCTCCTGGGTGGCTTCAGGCAATTTAGGATATTTTGTGTGAAGGGGACAGGTGAGTGGTGGCAGATGAGGTTATAGGGGGAGGCAGTGGCCAGGTCATAAAGGGTCTTAAGATCTATGGGAAGGAGTCTGCGTTTCACTGGAAAAGTCAAAAGAACTATTGAAGGACATTTTCCCCAACGTTTTATGAAAGTTTCGAAGCACGAAGAAGTTGAGAGAATTGCAGTGAGCATTCATATACCCACCACTTAGATTGTACAATGATCATTTTACTGTGTAGTTGATTCATCAAGTATCTATCTGTCCAGGTATGCATGCCTTTATCCACAAGATGGAATTTAAGTAGGAAACTAAGCTGATGAGAGCTCACTCTGGCTGCAGCTGAGAGAATACAGGGGAGCCTGACAGCAGGGTCCATGTGAAAAGTGGAGGGGCTGAGACGTAGTTACCAGAGAGGTAGGTGGAAATCCAAGAGACAGAGGGAGAAGATGGTCAGAAAACCATATTGGTGCACGTGTGTCCATAAGTCTGTGTGAACACTGACCTGCCTGTGGCCTCTCTGCTTGTTTGTGCACATTCACAAAAGATCTGTTGAATGCCTGCTGTGTTCAGACAGTGTGCCGTGCACTGTGGAATATACAAAGATACACAAGATATGTTCTCTGCCCACAGGGAGTTTATGATTTAATAGAGGAGGTGAAATATGGACTTGTTACAATATGAGGCAGTAAGACAGATGTCACGTTAAGGTGTCAAAATAATCATCACAATGGCTTACTTTTCTTGGGTATTTACCATGTGCTTGTCCAGGGTGTCATACACATAAACCAATTGAATCCTCACAATAACGAGTCAAGATAGGTATTATTATTATTATTGGCTTCATTTTATGGATGAGAAAATTGCATCTTGGGTAATGTGGGAAGTTACCCAAGGTCACATAAAATGCTATGGGAACATAGAAGAGGGAGAGTTCGTTTTATCTTAGGAATACTGGTGGCATGGGAATCAGGAAGGCTTCCTGGAAGAAGAGGCATTATGATGGCTGCCCCTCCCCCTAACATTAAACAATTACTTAAAGTAACTATAGTGTGTGCCAGGCTCCATGGAGACAGCCTCCCCCATCCTCTCCTAATTCCTGAACTACAGCCCAATGATAAGTGTTACCATAGAGACACATAGATAGAGGGCACTAGAGTGGGGAGGGGGAGCTCAGTGTTGCTGGGAGGTAGGGGTGGGAGAGAATCTTTCCAGATACTGAGGAGTCCTCAGGATGACTCAGGGAAAGACTTCTCAGCAGGGAGACCACAGGTGGTTGGACTGATAGGACTGGAGTGTGGGTGGGTGGAGAAAAGTAGCAGGAGATGGGAGGGGGCAGGCAGAAGGAATTTTGGAATTCCCTGTTGAGAATCCTGCAAGGCCTTAAGGGAATGGGGAGGCATTATGAGATTTTCATTTGGCAAGTTTGGACTTTGTTCTGTAAGGAATGGAAGGGGTGGCAAGAAGAGGTTTCTAATCTTGAGTTATAAAAATAATGAGGATAATTTAAAACAAAACTTAAGGACCGGCCCGGTGGCGCACTGGAGAGTGCGCTGCTTGGGAGTGTGGCGGCGCTCCCGCCGAGGGTTCGGATCCCATGTGGAGACTGGTTCCTGCTCACTGGCTGAGCACGGTGCAGGCGCAGCACCGAGGGTTGCGATTCCGTTGCCGTCCCCGGTACGGGCGTGACACCAAGGGTTGCAATCCCGTTACCGGTCAGTAAAAAAGACAAAAAGGAAAAAAAAAAAAAAAACTTAAAACACTCATACCATCATTGTAACAAAATAACTTTTTTTTCAGTGTATTTCCTTTGGTCTTCTTTGGTGTATATGACTATATTTTACATAATTGTATTTTAGTGTGCATATACTTTTTGTCTATATAACTCAATGTTATATCAACTGTTAAATAAAATTATGGGGGGCCATTGTTTTGGACTGAGCGCCTGCACTAGGCCCCAACAGACCAGACCAAAACAAAATGGACTCCGTCATGCAAAATGCACATAATCAAACTGAAACTTTAAGGAAGCAGATAGATACCAAAACAAACTAGATTTTCCTGAAAACAGAGGTTCCAGTCTATCTGAGTCAGTGTAATGAGGAAGTCCCCTCTGCTTTAACCTTTACAAAAAAGTAACCTGATGTTAACCAGTTATTTTTCTATTGTTCTGTTTCCTTGTATCCCCCCTTACAAAACCCATTGTCCTGCTATACCTAATGGGACTGCTCCTTCTATCTTGCAGAGTGGAGACTGCCCCGTTCACGTTTGTATCATTTTTTTTTTTGGCTGTTGGCCGTTATGGGGATCTGAACCTGTGACATTGATGTTATAATGATGTCAGAGATGCAGATTCTTGGACTTCCTGGGAGAAGAATCCCATCAGGAACGCGCAATAACTCCAAACTCACACAGCAGAGTTGCAATCACATTCAAAGTTTATTGCAAAGTGAAAGTACATGCAGAAGGGTGCATAGGCATTTCCTTGTGAGAAGCACCCCATGAATTCTTAGGGAAGGATTTAGATGTTGTTCTGGGATGGGGGTGTTTCCCTATCTTAACTAAGGAGAGGAATATTCATGAAAAGGAGGGAGGGAAAAGGGGGATTTTTGTGTTCTTACAAGTGTAAGCTCTATTCTAAGGGAAAAAGAGGTTTTTTGGTGGTTGTGGTTTTGTTTCCTGCTCAGAAAACCACAGGGCTCTGAAGAAGGGTAAGCTGACTGATAGGGTAGTTAAACTGCAGCTAGCAGGTGTTACTGTGAGCAGCCTGAATTTCTATGAGCAGCCTCCCTGGGGCAAGTCCCTGTTCTTTCCTGCCTCAACAAGGCTGCACTCTAACCAACTGAGCTAACCACCAGACTGCCCCATTCATGAATCATGAATAAAAGCCAATTAGATCTATAACTAAATGTGTTAATTTTGTCTTTTGACACAGCATTTTCTATGTTTCTACATATTCTCCGTAGTTATTAGTGTTAATGGCTGCGTAAATTATATACCATAATTAACT